ACGAGAGCTATAGGTATAATTGGCATGCCAAGAGAAGAGGGTCTACGCGGTCTTTCGGGATAATTCTACGTGGTCCTTCGGGACGTATATGTATTCTTTGGAGCATGTATGAGGTCTTTTAAGACACTTATTTGATCCTTAGTATATGTATATGGTTATTAAGGAATTTATATGTGGTCCTTATGGAAAATCTTATATGGAACTACGGTGCAAATTTCTACGCGGTCCTTCGGGACAAAATTATATGTGGCACTTCGATGCAAATTTATACGAGCTGTGGTGACAGCATAGTGCACAACCTCATAGTACTCACATACCTTAGGTTCTCAAAAATGTATATGGGCTAATAAAGAGACAATAACAAATATAATACATATGATGTATATGTTTTTGATGATATGAAATGTTACAAGAATTATATGATGATGTGTATATTGTTTAGTTAAGAATGTTAGATACAAGAGCATATGACTAAGGTATAAAGGATAATGCTAAGAAGGTAAATGATGATATATATATTTCTATATGATATGATAGTATTAATTATTTATGCATTGATATGAGTAAAGTAATGTTATATGATATGTGCATGTATGTATATGTTGCAGAGAAGAATATATATTTTGGTATGATAAGGTAGTATCAAATATTCATGCATTGTAGAAGTTACAGTTAACATATAATTATGTTTTATATGCCTCACTAAGTCATCGACTTAGCGTGTTATTGTTTCACACGTAGGTTTGGAAAGCGAAAAGAGAAGTAAAGAGAAGCAAGACATGTCAATTCTCCTTACTAAAAATCAGATCAGAAATGCAAATTGAATTACATGTATTTTGTCAGAAAGAATTTAGTTGGCATGTAATAAATAAACGATTTGTATTGGATACACTCTGATCGAGTTTTGAAATGTTTTAAACATACATATGTAAATGGTAATTGTATAATGATGAACGTTTTAAATTTCATGAGTTTTATACATGTTTTACGGAAGTACTGTAGCAGTACTATAACAATACTGTAGCAGGGTATCGGTTCCTTGTAGCAGGGGAATCGGTTCCCCTCCAACATTCTGGAAAATTTTAACATTCGGGTATTGTTCATTACTGTTCATATGGTACTGTCCAAACCGTATTTTACTGTTCATAAATATGTTTTTGACTCGAAATTTTATACGAAACATAATTTAATAGAATATTATGGTATTTTCCTAAAATAAGTCCAAATGTTTTGATATTTTGTAAGAATATCGTTTTTAAAAGTCAATATGACATGTCAGACTCATATTCGAGTCGGATACGGGTTGGAGTGTTATATTTAATGGTATCAGAGCTACGGTTTAGCCAATTCGAGGCTAAAAACGAAGTCAAAAGTGTTTTAAAAAGTATACATGCCAACATAAAGAGAAAAAAAAATTCTGATCTGATAGTGTAAGGAGTGTAATGTCTTTCTAATAGAATTAAAATGATATGTTATATTATATGTATGATCATAAGAGTTTCCAAAGTGAAGCATAAGGCAATAGACTGAAGGTAATAGCATTCACCTGTCCTGGCCAGGCAGGTAGAAGAGCGAAAACCTCAGGGAGTGCCTGTACAATATTAGAGAATGTTTCGTGATGTTGAATGATATTATGATGTGTTTTCAATTTTATACTTCTATAATTCATAGAATGAATGTATCGAGTAGAGTTGAGAACACCTGAGTTTAAGGGTGAATTTGATAAATGTTCTATTGTTATAGACATTTGATTAATGATAGGGATATATTGTTAGAAGGTTTTTATTTCTCCAAATTGGAGAAGTTAAATTGAGTAGTTTCGTTACTACGTGGGCAAGCTAGAGTATGGTGGACAAATGTCACCATAAGAATGTTAAAAGACTCAATGATGTGGTTATTATTTGTAGAAGAATTCAAGAATAAGTACATGGATGACCTGTTCATAAGACAAATGAAGCTAGAATATACGAACATGAAGAAAGGGAATTACACATGCATGTATATGAGTATAAGTTTAATAAGTTAAGAAGATGTATTGCTGAGTTGATTTTGATTAAGAACGATAGGAAGGATAAATGTGATTGGTTGTTTAAGGCTTGTGCCTTAAATTAAAATAGTGTTACTGATTTTGAATTTGTTCTCATTTCAAGAAACGGTTAATTGCGTTAAAGTTTTTGAGAGAGCTCATAGTAAAAGGACTGGAGAATAAAAATCTCAGATGATTAAGAGAATTAGTGCTTCATAAAGTTAAGCATCATAAAAGAAAGATAGAGATTATGGTTTTCAACTTTAAACCAGATATGAATTAGTTGTATTCTCCGCTAGAGAATAAAGTCAATCAGTTCAGACGGATGGGAAATTGTAGTATTAAAGAAACTTTATTGTTCTGAAATAGAATAGTTTCTTAACAGCATGGGCAAGATAAAGCGGAAGAGATTGATGTTAATTGGAGAATATTAAAAGACCAAGGAAGGGTTTAAGAATATGTATATCAGTGATCAGTTATAAGACAAAGGTAAATGGAATGGTTGAATTCGAACCAAAGGAATTGTATTATGGATGAGTGAGAATAAAGGTTTGATAAGTGAAGAAAATAGTAAATGAATTATTTGGACTGGAAAGAATACATATATGGATAGTTTGATGAAGGTATATGTTTTAATTGACCGAAATAAGTTGAATAATAAAGTAGTGTGATAGTGAATGTATTAAGGTTAAAGGATTTGTATGTTTGACGAAAACTAATGATTAATAGAATAGTTAAAAGGATAAAGAAGGAAAAGTATAAATGATATGAAAGGAATATTAGAATTGTAAATAGTATTGTGAATAAGCAAGAGTGTTGATATGATAAGGGATTTATATTATAGATGGAAAGAGTTAGCAATGGCTAACAAAATTATGTGATGGAAATGTATTGGAATTATAAAATATTGTTAGGTTATGATAACCAAATATGAAGTGGATTCGAATACAATGTATATTTTAATTATGTAATGTGATGTAGTGAATGAGATAAGGATTTGAATGTTCAAAAGAAGATAAAGAGTAATATAAAAGTTGAGAATGAGTATGTCGGTGAACTTTATAAGACAAAGAATGTTACAATTGTTTGATTTTGAAACAGAGGAATAATACTGTAATTGAGTAAGAGTCTAAGTTTGAAAAGTTGAGTAAGATACAATTGAGGAAAATTTCAGCGAAAAAAAATGATTGAGTTGATAAGGGATGTACCCTAGATTAAAAAGTTAAGGATTTCGTTCAGAAATTAAATATGCAACTGACTAATGTTAGAGGATCTCCACTATTCTAAAGTGGATAATTTAGATGAAGTAATTTGGTTGCTATGTGGTTGAGCTAAAATATGGTAAACAAATTATATAATGGGAATGATGAAAGATTCATTGATGTGAATGTTGTTTCGGGAGAATTTAAAGAAATAGGTACATTGGTGATTATTTTATAAGATAGAAGATGTTGAAATGTTTAGTGTGAGCAAAGAAAATTTCATGGTGCACTGGAATGAATGTGGATTTGAAAAGTTAAGTAAACTATTGTTGAGATAATTCTGGTTGGAAAAAGAGTATATGATTAAATTTAATTCGAACCTGAATGAATTAGTAAGAGAGATGAAAAAAAGGTAAAAAAAAAATAAAAAGTAGTTATAAAATTGAAATAAATCAAGAGTCATAATTATAAATATAAAAATTAGGGACCTTGATCAGTAACTCGGAATTGTCCCCTAAAAGCCGGTTCTGTGTGCACGTTTAGAGAAGATCACTAATATATCATGCTTAGATATTATTTTTAAAAAAGGCCTTTATGTAGTTGGAACTAGTAACAGAACAATGTACAAGATTATTAGTACTATAGTTAAAGAAGAAACTCTGTCTCCTTTAATTTTCAAAGGAACCTATTTGACCCGAGCTCTTTGTAGCCAGTACTCCGAAATTAAGTTGAGATTGTGAAACATTTTTACATTGTCATTTATGCGTTTAGTCAGTGACCAGCGATGGCAATTAATGGTGACCGACAACGTAATAAGGGGTGGCCAACGATATTAACTTTGATTGGATTAAAGGATCAAAATGATATGTTATACATAGAGATTAAATTAATATTTTATGTAAAACTTAAGATCAAACTAATATTTTATATCTAAAATTGAAAATTGAAAATTGAAAAAAATTTAATTACTTTTACCACGTCAGTAAAATAACCAGAGTTAATAGCCCCAAATGTAATACCTCATACCCTTCACGAAGAATGACCCAAATATCTGAGTGTACATTAGATTCTAGAACAAGTCGGACAAAACAAAAACCTTAAACATGCGATCTAAGCATAAAAAAATTTAAATAAACATCCATCATGCTTAAACATGCAAAAAGAAAACATTTAAACACATTCATAGCAGCCAACAACCATGCAACATCGAACAAAATCATTATCATTATAGGGGTAAAATGGTCATTTTACACATAAACAAGAGAAACATCAAATTAAGGTCACCTATAGTTATTATTATCCCTTAATTAGTGACATGAAAAATTTCAGCTCAATCGAATACCAAACAGGGGTCTAATTGAACATGCAACTTTAGGGACCAAATTGTAAGCAATTTAAAAGTTACATACGTACAAAAAAATGCAAATAGCGTGCCCATTATGAAATTTAATGTATTATAGAGTGACAAAACAAATCTCATCAAATTCTGAGTTAGGACCAAGTATTAATTAACAATTCAATTTCTGGATCATTTTGAACTCACACAAACATCTCTTGGGAAAACAAAACTGACCAAAATAAAATGTTTTCAAAATTAATAACTAAATTTGAAGGGACCAAAACCATAAAGGACCACCAATGTTGTTTACCAAAAAAGTTATTGTAGATTAAATATACAGAAAAATAATTTGGTGACCAAAGTAAAAAGAATTAATAGTTGAATGACTAAGTAATGAAGTTTAACTTAAATTTGGTTATAATAATATTGTTATGAACAGCAAGGGTTTGAAGGGTTTTCAGTCGCAAGGGTTTTAACGTTTAAGGAGTAAAGGATGCCACGCACCACCACCGTCTACTGCCCCGGATGCCCTCCACTTCGAGCCCTAACTTTCGATGCCCTTGGTCTCATCAAAGGTTTTCGATTCATACCATCTTTATATAATTTTACTCCTACAATTGAAATCTTCACTAATTTTGGTTTTAATTGAATAGTAATCGAATCTCGAGGTAAGGGAGGAGGAGTTCCCAAAGTGGTGGAGAGATGGGGAGATCCTGATGCTTCCAAATGTTTGGTTGCCGCTTCCCTTGATGACCGCAAAATCGACCCAGTGAGTTTTGTTTTGTTTGTTTGTTTTTTCAATCGGTACTGAAAAGTTCTGTCTCTTATTTTTTGAAAATTTCTTTTTTTTCAGTTGTTAGCTGTTGCACGTAAAAATGGTGTGGTAAGTTGCTATTTTTTTTTTTTTGCATTTTCCTGTTTTATGAAGATCTGGCTTTAGTAGGATTCGTGTTGAATTTTTCCTTTGTTCAATATATATACTGCAGATTGAGATACTTAATCCCCTCAACGGTGAACTTCCTTTTCGGTTTCCGATGTTAGTAATGCTGGTTTTAGGCCAGAAGATAATGCTATTGTTGGGCTGCATTTGTTCACAAAACAGAGATTGAAGTTAACATCGAGGTATAATCCTCAATTACTTCCTTTTTAATGCTAAATGAAAATGAACTATGCTACTCCGATTTTTCGTTTTTCTTCAAGTATCTTTGTTTGCTAATTTCTGACATGATATGGAGATATAACCCTTGACAGACCCTTAAAATATATGAACAAACTTAGAAAAATTGACTATATCCATGACTCCATGTTGAACACATACTTGTATTTGACTCTCACATCCAAGTCTTAGTTTTCTTTTTATAGAAGTAGGAGGCCTCATTAAAAACCTCCCTCATAGTAGTCTTATTCCCTAAGGAAAGAACCGACTAGCGGAAGGAGGAAAAGAGTACCTCAGTATATTGAAAATAAACAGGTTACATAAGACTTAAAAAAACACCGAATACATCAGTTCTCTAGAAGCACACAAAACAACTAAAAAAAAATCCTTACAATCACCCAATCCCCTCCTTCGCTAACTTATCAACCTCACAATTACAACTCTTAGGGATCAACCTAACACTAAGCTCCTTAGATGATACAATAGAGAAAATGTCCTTGACTAGATTACTAAAGAAAATAGGAGCCGAAGAAGGAGATTTAATCCATTCCACTGCTGACTTGCAATCGCTTTCAACAATCAGTCTACCCTCCGAAACCCACTCTGAAGAGATAAAGATCTCGATGCCTTTTTTTGATTGCTTTCAATTTTGCCAAAGGGGAGGGCCAGGACCAACACTTTCGGAAAAAGACAGGAGAATAGAGCGATGCCAATCTCTTAGAATACCTCCTACCAACCCATCACAACTAACGCTCCATCCACATTCATCTTAAAAAATTCAATTGGAGGGGGACTCCAACAAAGCAAAGGCCTACACTTAATCTTTAAAACAAAACTCTTGTCTGCAAGGGAAGGATCTCCAATCAACGAATCCACCTGGATAGGAACGAGAGGATACTTGGCTAGAAACCATTTTGTTAACCTGAATCTAACAATGAAGAAGAGTGTGGATCTGTCAAATTTCCCTCTATCGAAAACAATAGCATTCCTAGCTTTCCAAATTGACCAAAAAGCAACACCCAGAATAAACTTCCATATAGACGAATTAATGCTCAAATTAGACCACGAGCTAAGAAGGGAAGGAGGATCACGAGGTAGAGCTAAGGAAAGATCCCATAAGCTAATTAATTTGTTCCGTAGTTTCCACGAAACAGAGCACGGATGAAGAGATGTTGGATTGTTTCATTATACTGACTGCAAAATGAACAAAAACTGTCTTCTCCCAGGGAACCCCCTATTCTTCAACTCCACTCTCACTGCTAATTTATGATGAGAAACATGCCAAAGGAATGTCTCAACTCTTGGAGGAACTAAACCCACCCTTACCCATTTCTTCCACAAAATATTATCCCTAGATAGCAAAGATAGGTTCATCTTGCAAGATTTAACCGAGAACAGTCCATCCCCCATCACATTCCACAATAAAATGTCGTCAACTGAATCAGTCAGTCTGATGTTATTTAGCTTATCCATTAAATCCACCTACTGGACCACTTCCCATTCACATAAATTTCTCCTAGTTTGTATATTCCACTCCTAGCCATTCAAACCATAACTACCAAAATCAGCCACATAACCCCCTTTATTGGATGAAAGAGCATAAATCCTAGGAAATTGGTTTTTCAAAAGAGAATCCTCTATCCAAAAGTCGTTCCAAAAAGAGAGATTTATCATTACCCACTTGAAACTTTGCATTGGATCTAAGGCACACTCCAGCGGAGTCATCCTTCAAGAAACTCTTGACAATTCCTCTCCAGATCCAAGAGTCCTGAGGGAGAAAACCTTGTTGATGATTGCCATGGTATTTCAGCTGACATTGTGTTTGTTGCACAACATTTTTTTTCACAAGTAATCTTTTTCATTAGCAAACTTCCAAACCTATTTACCCAGCAGAGAACGATTGGTAAGATTCATATCCAAAAATCCCAGACCTCCATTACTCAGCGGTTTACATATTGTATTCCAATCCACCCAGTGAATTCGTTTCTTCTTAGCTCCACCATAGAAAATTTGCCATCAAAGAATTAATCTTTTGGCTAATTTTACAAGGCATTTTGAAAATATATAAGAAAAAGATGGGTAAGGAAGACAGAACCGACTTCAAAAGCACCACTCTGCCCGCCATAGATAAACAGGAAGCTTTCCAACCGACCAATTTCTTGTTGAAATTCTGGATGACTGGTTCCCGTAAGGCATCAAAATTCTTTTTGCCCTAAGTGGTAGGAGACCAAAGGAAAAGAACCAATTGAACAACCAATGGCCGAAACCCATTCTTGAAGGATGTCATATTCTACATTTATACTATAGAGTTTGCTTTTAGCTAAATTTAGATGGAGCCCCGTCAATAAGCTGAAAATCCTCAAAACTCTTACATTTTTAATTTGAGTAAGAGAAGCTTGGCAGAAAATAATAAGATCATCAACAAACTGGAGATGAGACAGTCTAAAAGGATTATCAGATTTTCCAATAGTAAACCCGTGAAAGAGACCCAAGTCAACAACTTTAGACAACATCAAATGGATCAATTCACCAACAACATTGAACAGAAGAGGTGAAAGACTGCAACCCTGTCTTAACCCTTTAGCCATTGGGAACTCTTCTGTAGGGGAGCCATTTACTAAAACATAAATTGATGCAGAAGAAAGACAATACGAAATCCACGAACACCATCTCTCATCGAAGTCCATCTCTTTCATTAATCCAAGAAGAATTGGCCATTCAACTAAATCATATGCTCTAAGAAAGTCCACTTTAAAAACAACCCCTTTAAGTTTTTGTTTCCTCCAAAAATCAATGCCTTCATTAGCTAGGAAGGTACAATCCAACAACTGTCTCCCCGGGATAAAAGCGAATTGAGATGGACTAACAATATCTTTGACACAAGAAATGAGTCTCTTAGAAAGAACTTTTGAGAGAATTTTATAAAGACTACCAACAAGACTAATTGGTCTATAGTCTTCTAAACTCTCAGGATTAATTTTCTTTGGAATAAGGGTAATAAAAGCATGATTAACCTCGTGATCCCACTTCCTTCCACTATAGAAATCCAAAAAGAACTTCATAATCTGCTCCTTTAGACTAGGCCAGTATTTCTTGTAAAATCCCATAGTAAAACCATCCGGACCAAGGGCTTTTGCACTGTCAGAGGTGAAATGGCTTCCCACACTTCTTGTTCTGAAAAATGCTCCTCAAGGAAAGCACTTTGAGAAGCTAACAATTTTGCAAATACAAAATTGATGGCCTCGACTTCCAACGTTGATTTGGTATTATAAGCTGCCTTGAAAAAATTGGAAACAAGGGACTTAATCTTTTCTGGATTCGAGACTACGTTCCCTTCGACTTTCAAGGTAGAAATATCATTGAATTTATTCCTATCCAGAGCACCGAGGTGAAAAAACCTCGTGTTTTGTCTCCATCTTTGATCCATCTCGCTCTCGACTTCTGAAACCAAATGCTTTCATCAATCCTATACAACCTCCAAAAATTCTTTTTAAACTGCATCAACTGGTCCCCCTCCCCCAAAGATAGGTTTCCTCCTTGTGACTTAATCTCTAAAACATTTATTTTACCTTCCAACTCTGAAATAGAATCTGCCAACCCAAGATCAAAGTTGCCAGACCAGTTTCTGATAATCTTTTTAGTGCCTGTAACGTGCTGAAAATTCCTCCACGGTTATTCTTCTTCTTTGAGGCTGCCAAGGATGATTTAACCACCTCATCAAAACCTTCTTCCTCTAAAAGATAGTTAAAAAATCTAAACGGTTTGGGGACCCAATTTAAACTATTATCCTCCAACACTACCAGATTATGATCGGAAAGGGATTTCGGGAGAAGGCCTTGAGAAATATTTGGAAAACTGTTCAGGAAATTGCCACAAATTAAAAAGCGGTCGATTCTAACCCACATTGGAGAATCTTTGTTATTGCACCAAGTGGCTTGTTGTACAAAGGAACGAAGAAGGTTGTGGCATGCTAATTTTGTGATTTCCCTATCTTTTCTCCTAGGTCAAGATATGCATTAAAATCATCCCCAATGCAAACTGACAAATTCAAACTAGCTACATAATTCAACAACTCCCTGAAAAGCTCTTCCTTTTCAGCTTCTATTGAAGGGCCATAAACATTGATAAAAACACACTCTGCTTTGAACTCCTTAAACTTCCCAAAGAATGCAATGAATCTACTGTGAATGTGTTGGCCTGTGACTTCAAACAAATTTTCATTCCACATACAAAGCAACTCACCCGCAGACCCCTCAGCTGGAGAAAAAATCACTCCCTTTATTAAATTCCCCCTATCTTCCTTCTAAACATCAATTGGCACTGATCTAGCTTAGTTTCTTGTATAAATAGGATGGACGGTTTGATATTTTTAACAAGCCTTGCCACTGCTCTAGACTTCTCTCTTCTCCCGAAGCCACTTATAATCCACGAGATAATACTTAATTTAGTCATTAATAAAATTTATTACCAAACTCCAAAAACCAAAAGTCGGATAAAACAAAAGTTCTCCTAAGTATCATCCTACCCTATCTACTCCCGATCCTTTCTCCAGGCTTGCAATTTTTTCGATAAAAGCCTTTTTCCCTTCCTTGAAAGAAATTCCTAACATCTGAAAGACTTCCCAGGTAGCCAAAGCTTCCTCCAAAAACACCGAGAAAGAGGAGGAAGAAACAGTAGAACTACTGACCATGTCCAAAGCTTCACTAATCAAAGTCCTCCTCCTTCTGTGGTCTTTCCCAATCCCTGAAACAACATGACATCCTGCTGAAAAACTCTCTGCCTACATGTTGGAATGGGTAGGAATCAGAGATATATTCGGAGAATTGACAGAACCATTATTACTCATGTGCTGACCTTCACCCAAATCTTTTGAAAAGGACTGCCGACTCGTGCTATAACCTCTTATCTTCTTAACTTGATCCTGACCTTTAACAACCCTTTTTAACTACTTCACAGCAGGAGAATCTACTACTATTACATTATCTCCCTCACGTGTATCCTCTCCAGTGGAGCCTATTCCAACATTTTTTTGGGTATTAAACGAAACTTATTATGCTTACCACAACCTCCCCACTTAAAGTTAAAAACAGGCCCAACAGGTGAGAGTTTCTTAATTGGAGAATTGGATTCCCAATTGTCATCTGAATGGGCTGAAGGATTCGGGTTCACTTCTTTCCTCAACCCAAGACCCGCAAAATCCCCTTTTGGATTTTTCCCATTTTCAAGGGGACCTGACACCCCATTAATGAAGGTTCCGTGTAAGACTTATGTTTCAGTGACTGTTCCCCACCAACTTCTCTCAAACCCCCCGAATCACCTTGCTCCAACCACGTGTCCACCTTTGACCAAACCTCCTCAGAAGACAACACACGTTTAGTTGCTGTCAGTACAGGACGCCCGCCCTCATCTTCCTCCGTCGAAACATCATCAATTTACCACACATCTGAACCCCTTTCCATCTCTTCCCCTGAAAGTTCATAATATTTTTTATCAACCGATTCCAACTTAATTTTAACTTTAAAAGATTTGCCATATGACCCTATATTAATTATTTTAGGACATCAAAAGGGCTCGCCAACCTAATCAGTAATATCGCCGATGAGAGGTCCTCCCTTTTTCTTGTCTCCTCAGTAATACATACAAACTTCCCCCACCTCCCAGCAAGTTTCTCCAGAAACGACCCACTCCAGCTAAGTAATGGGATTTCGAATAACTCTACCAAACAATACGCCAATGGAACACCTTCATCATTCAACAGTGGAGCCAACCAGTCAAACCAAAAGAAAAGCTCTTCTCAATGATTAGTCCACGCTTTTGAGAACTCTTTATTCGACTTGAACATGATGATGCATGAATTCCATACATATCCCCATCTCACAATTTTTACTTCAAATCCCTCATTTGCCAAAGCTTTCTGCATCAAGTCTGGCTCGAAAGAGGATTTAATAACCCCTGTTAAAGAACTTTTCGTCTAGTTGGATTCTTCTGTAGGGATATGCATTTCGCATACGTTCCTTAACCCCTTTGTAGCTTGCATTGGACCTCCCTTATTAACCCCTGTTTCTTGTACGTTCAAAACTTCCTTGTACGTTCTGCCATCCCTTAGGCTTCTCGACATCCTCCTCAGACCTTCTTTTGTCATCACTTAATGGCTTGTTAACTTCCGTCTGGAATTTGCCATCATCAACTACTCTTTTCCTATATTTATTATATTTGCTACCCCCACCGAAACTCTCTTCCCATCTATCCACGTTCCATTAATATTTTGTATTACCATTCTTCTACCAACCTCCTTCGCAAACTGGACAAAGGCGAACGTTGAAGATTTATAATTCGGTTTATTCATATAACTTGGGGTGAAGACCCTCACAACTTGACCATGATGATTGAATAGTTCCCTTAATGCTCCTCTAGAAACCCTCTTACTTAGATTGTCAACAAAGACAGTCCATTCCTCACCGGAGGAAGAACGACCTTTCACTCTCTCTCTCTCTACCTCTTGCACTCATGTTTCGAACAACCATGAAGATAGAAATGTGAGGTCTCATTAAAATACCTCTTCATAACCGTCGAGCTACATAAGTAACTCACCGGACGTTGGAAGGAGGAAAAGAGTACCTCAGAATTTTATTACTAAAAGCCACATCCAAGTCTTAGTAACATAGAAAAATGAACAAGGTTCCTATTCTTTCTTATTTATGTAATTTAGTATAGTTACTGAAATAATGGTTCTTGGTAGTCACAACTCACAATTCCTTTACTTGCGTAACTTGTTGATCTCTATAAACTTACTGTTGTCAGGTCATGCACTTTTCTTGCATGTACGACAAAAGGACATGCAAGCATAAAAACAGTTGATATGGTTGATGCTAAATTGGATTCTGGTGCCCCGAAAACATGGAATGTATGTGCCTCGGGAAATATATCATTTTCGGAAGTTGATGGAAGTGAAAGCTATGCGCTTATTTGGAGGGTGAGTGTGTTTGTATTGCTTGACCGTATACATGAGCCTTATACTTGATTTTTCTGCGTTTGCTGATAGTGCATTTTGATGCTTGACTGGAATATTTATTATTTTCCTAATTCAGGAAGGGTGTTGAAGTTAATATGTGGGATCTTGAAAAATGTACAAAGATCTGGGCTGCAAAGCCTGTGAGCCATTTCAACCTCTCTCATTTTAAAATATTTATGTTTTAGTATCTTCTGTGTTTCCATTTCTCTTAATGCATCCCATATTGAACAGCCTCCTCCGAACAGCCTTGGTATTTTTACCCCTACTTGGTTTACATCTGCAACATTCCTCAGCAAAGATCACCGTAAAGTTGTGGCTGGTACCAATAACCATCAGGTAGCCTTTTGTGGCTATCAGCCACTCCTCAAACATAATACTAACATGTTAATATCCCTTTGGTTGTACAGAAATATATTTTCCCTTTTCCCTCTTCTCTGAAGAAACTTTATACTTGATCGTCTATTGCCACTTTCTAGAATTACTTTGTTATTCTGTAATAAGAAGTCATGCCAGTTTCAAGATATTTAGTAGTTGATTTCAGTTAAACTTTTGAAAATGCAGTTTCTAGACAGTTTTAGTTTTAGCTTCATGTTTTTGTGATTCATGGTCTAGAGTCTAGACCTTATTGAATTTGCAAGAACGTGAAATGGCACATTTTTTTTATCAATTTTATTCGGAATTGTGACTATGTCAGGAATATGGGATTGAGTTGTAGCAATGCATTTCATCCTTATCAGTAGCTTCTATAATATTGTATTTCCCTGATTCAAGATAACTTTTACAGGTGCGCCTCTATGATGTTTCTGCCCAACGGAGGCCAGTTATATCATTTGACTTCAGGGAGACCCCTATAAAAGCAGTTGCGGAAGACAGAGATGGTCATACAATCTATATAGGGAACGGATCTGGTGACCTTGCTTCGGTGGATATACGCACAGGTACAGGATTGATTCTATGTTCTTGTTCTATAATTCTTTATTCCATTCTGCATTTCCAGTTATTGGTAGCTCAGTCATTACTTGAAGAAATTTTAGTCGACTTCTGATATTATATTTATGATCTTATTCTGGTTAAGTTATTGAAGTGTTTGGAGATCTAGGTTGGAATTTTTGTTTCTGATGGTTGCATGTTACATATTCTATGCTAAAATTTCCCTTAAGACCAAACTCAGAGCAATTTGCAGATCTCCTCAACTCATTATCGTCTCCATCAAAGGCAGGCTTGAAGTGTTCTTTGAGTTCAATGTGTGATGGATTATATCCATGTACAGTTTATCCTAATGCCTTGGCTAGAAATTCAGTTTTTACATATTTGTTAGTTGAAATTGCGTGGTTCAACCATTACATATTTGTTAGTTGAAATCGTGTGGTTCAACTATCTGTATGTACTTGATGTTTCAATCCCTTTTCTTTGATGCTTCTGCCAAAATTCATGAAGGGTTATGGAACTAAAGAATAGGTTGAACTTGCTGGTTTCCTGTAGAGTATCTGAAATAAGTAGAAATCACTTGCATCTTTTTTGCGTCATTTCTTGACTAAGCTTTTCTTAAATGATTTGAGGTATATTTTTCCGTGAATTTCGGTTAATGGTGAAAGTTTTTCCTTATAGGTAAATTATTAGGATGCTTTTTGGGGAAGTGTTCTGGAAGCATCCGATCCATTGCCCGGCACCCTGAACTTCCCGTGATAGCATCTTGTGGTGAGTATATGCTGCAATGTTTATAAATCTAAGCACTTTTGTAACCTGTGTTTGCACGCATTCTTCACATTTGTATTGGGAAGCTATATTTTGGGACTTGGAGATGATTTTGTTGCTTGAAGAGCTAGAATAGGTTGGAAAATGGATTTCTAATGTGTCTCAAATGATTCTGAAGTGATTAAAAGCCTGAACCGGTTGGTTCTACCAGGAACCGTTAAGTCCAATGATTCAACAATATTAATATCAAACCAGAATTGTTCATTATGTTTTAGGACTTTTAACCTGATTTTTAACCCATTTATACCCAATTTGATTAATTTGTGCAAAAGAAAAAAAAATTGTTCCTTTTCATCCATTCTTTTCTGTTAATATGATTAATCCCTACTTTTTCCTTTTCTGTGATTTTTATGAAATTTTCATAGTTATTTATTGTTGATCTGGTTGTTGAACTAGGAAATGGTCCAAACCAGATTGACCTCCAAATTGGTTTTTAATTCCTCAGTCTTTCCATACTCTTTTCATACTATTAATGTTTCATGCTCGCCTTTTAAAAATGAGTGAGTTTGCGATTGTTAGCTTCTCAACTTGTTAGATTGGAATTATTTTGCGTAAGCTTTATGCATTGCTGTTGTATTTTTTGGGGTAAGTCTTTTTATACATACAACAAAACTGACAGAATTCAATATTTTTCAGGCTTGGACAGTTATCTGCGCATTTGGGATATCGGAACAAGGCAACTTCTATCGTCGGTATGTTCTATTTGAAAAGTAGAGTTTAGATGTGGTTAATTAAGCTGCATAAAAATACACTGCAAGCAAATCACCTTTATCTGCCTACAATTTTCTGGGTGCAGGTTTTCCTAAAGCAGCATCTTACAAAAGTTGTTTTTGATACAAATTTTACCGAAGAAGGTCAGTTCTTTTCCTGGAATCTTTATTGTTCAAAAGTAGGGGTTGCCCTTTCTGCCTCGTAGACTATGTTGCCCCGATTCTTCATTTTGCTTGAAGTACTTGTGTATGGCATCCTTATTCAAAAAATATTAGGACATGGGTACGGGATATGATCCTCTAGAGACACTTCAAATACATGGAAAACCTTCAAAAAGAAAATTGAACATATCCAAGTAACATAGCTTTCTTGTATGGATAGAGTGTAGTATCATCAGCATAAGTTGCAAACTCGAGAATGTTGCCCTTTCTGCCTTGTAGACTATGTTGCTCCGATTCTTGTTTTTTTTTCCTTTTTGAAAGACCGATTCTTCATTTTGCTTGAAGTACTTGTGTATGGCATACTTGTTCAAAAAAAAAAATAGAACATGGGTATGGGATATGGTCCTCTAGAGACACTTCAAATACGTGGAAAACTTTCAAAAAGAAAATTGAACATAAAATAAACGGAACCCGAATTGAACCGAACCATTTGTCAGGCTAATACATAGAAAACTTTCAAAATGAAAATTGAACATATCCGAGTAACATAGTTCAGTTATGGATAGAGGGTAGGATCATCAGCATAAGCTGCGAACTCGAGAACATTGCAATCATGTAATTCATGCCTTTACATGGTGGTGTAAATCCCCGTGCATCTAGGTTTGATCCTTTGGGGTTTGATGCGAAGATTAGTCGGAGTGCGGGAGGTTGGAGCCATTCGAATGTGAATCTTACCGAGTGTCATTGTGGTTGCTAATTTTGAATGTATTTCTCTTATATGCAGAAGTTAAACACGATGCAGCTGATAAGGCCACACCTGATGCTCCGAGCATAGATGAAGTCCAAATTGCAGACGAAACCGAAAAACCACCAACAAAAAGAAAGAAGTCGTCGTCTAAAGAAAACAAAGAGGGAAAAAAGAAAAAGAAAGCATCTAAAGGAAAAGAGGGAATGAAGAAGTTGAAATCCAAGAAAAGAAGCAAAAGTCGAGAACATGACATTGCTGCTGCTGATGAATAAACTTGCACTGAAAAGCTCTGGTTTCAGACCTCAAAAGTACACATTATGATAGGGATGGCACGCGGAAGAAGCATGGAAAAAGATTGTTTAAAACTTGAGCAAAGGTATGTATTGCACTACGGTAGGTTTGATAGAAAAATATGCCAATGGTGAAGCAAATTGAACCGGTCTGGTGTGGTGGTTAAATTGTTTTAATGTAATTACCCGGGAAAACTGAACCGGTTAACTTGTTAAAATTTTGGAAGTGAAATTTTGCCTTTTTTTTTTCCTTAGGTTTTTGGCCCAATTTGACAAACGTTTGTTACTAGACTTGTCTCTTTAATTAAGTGGTGTATTTAATCCTTACTTCAACTTATAGAATGAGACGGGTTTTGAGAGATGGATATTTGGGTCGGAATCGATCTACAATCTGAATCCTAAACTACTTTATTATGAAAGATGTCTTCTTTGTTTTTCTTCATTCCCACAATTTCTCTCATCTCTTGTAGCTGAAATCATCATTTGCTCTATTATCAGTTCTTTTTTAACTTTGAATTTGATATTCCTTTCATCACAAAATATTCCAATGTCTATAAATCTAATCTAAAATCGTTCATCTTTGTTTTTCTCTCCTTTTAAAATTGTTCACCCTCTAATTGATGGAAAAAATCTATTAAATTAAATAAATTGAAATAAATTTAATCATCAAATCATATAATAATATGTATTGAGACACTTGGTATAAGCGATATATGACACCATTTGATTTGGATATTAAATTTATTTTAATTTATTAAAAGTAAGATCAAATTAATAGAATATGTAATAATAGTGACCAATTGTATAATTATATTAAATTTATTATTTTTCCCGGCACCACATCCGTTAAAATTTAACAACTAGTGACTTGATTAACAACAATTGAATAGTTAGGTGGTCTAATTGATAAAATTGAAAGATCGTTGATAAAAATAAAAAGAAAAATAGTTGAGCGGTCAGTGGTGTAATTTACCCTCAATTTAAAGTGAAATAAGACAAGTTTTTTCTTTCATTAATAAAAGTATATTCATTGTTGAAATCATCAAAAATTATTCTCCATAATCGAAAATCGCAATGCCGAAAAGAATAATGTTTTTTTGCAAAACTTTACCTCTGATTCTGTGAATTTAGTGTTTTTGACTTTCAAAGGTTCAAGTTTCGGGTTGGGTTTGAGGCAAGCGAGAATCTTCTGAGGTCGAGTTAAGTATTGAGCGGGACTCTTTTATCATTGGGATCAGTTAAATTGATTCGAAATTTATTTAAAAACACAATCTGATGCCCAGTGGTTGCAAAATCAAGATCCAGAACACATATAGATGAGAGGGACAATCAAGATTCACTTAAAACAATTATTTTCACAAGAATGCTTATAGGGTAAGTCCAGAATGCATTCTTCAGGTCATGGTAAAACTCACAGAAACATTGAATTGAAAGAAACAAAAAGCAGCTCAGACCGAAGCTGCTTCACTGTGATGAAGCTTCCTCTTTCTTCTCCGACAAATACCTTCACAACATCACGATAATAGTACGTTAGATCAAGCAAAAAAGCGTCTTTAACCATAAGAATCCATGCATTTTAACAACTGATAACAATAGCAACCACACGGGAAAAATCAAAAGACCGATGACTGAAAGTAATTCAGATATCCAAAAAGTATCATCTGATACAGCAGATATAATATCCAAGTTTTTCTTTCCCCTAATATAGTCAGTTCACAAGGAAGTTCAACTTTGACAGTAGCAATCTGAATCAACCCTAAGATGGTAACTGATAAACATAAATCAGCATTAGCCAGTGTAAGGGCAATGCATACGCGAAAAAGAAAAGAAAATGATTGCAAACTCAATAGCCATCACATAGAAAAGAAATTAGCTCAATGCTATATTACTCCTACTTTTCATTTTCCCTAGCGTATCTGTATTCGAAACCTGTATCTGGCACATATTCTATTTCTGTCATAGGCATGAGGGTAAGATTCTCCAGATATATGGAAAATCTTGAAAAAAGTTGAGCACACCCGACACATACCAGTATCTGACGCTCACCCCTACTATACTATGAGTAACATAGGTTCAATGTGAACCATAAAGACCATACTTACCCTTGACCTCTTGCCCAACGGGAAAGTTGGTAGAGCTGTACTGTCTCATTTGAAGCATGGCATGCCAGCAGCAGATAGTTTCGTGGTTGTACCATCCATGCAAACCTCATGAACAATGCAGAATAGACGCACATTGCTACACACCGGAATAGAAGAAAATAATTAGAATATTGGGCAGGCATAAATGCCACGAAAAATCTGTAGCTTCTTTGAACCATATTTTTTTACCTGATGTCATGTTGCCAGAAATCATTTCTGGGGGCTTCTTCATGTCCACCAATCCCTGACATTCATATGCAATGTTCAAATACGAGTTATAAAACAAAAGTTGTGTGTGCTACTCTGATCTGGCATAACTTTGTCCGAAAGGGTGAACAACGGAACATATTAAAAAGCAAATTTAATGTGATGGTGGCTAAACATACAGCGATAACAAATCCCCAATTTGCAACAGGCCCCCAAAAGTGAGTTGTTTTTGGGCCAACTGGACTGTTTAGGAATGCTCGGAAGGAAGAAGCCATTTGTTACAAACGATGCTGAAAGTAGCTCTGCAATGGTTGAACACTTATAAGTTGAAGAGGAATTATTATAAATCATCAAATTTCAAATAATAAGTAAATCCGGCTACAGATTGAAAACTGTGTTGATCATTTGAAACTACTGCCATACATATAGCTATAGAAGCTATGTTAAAATTTCAAACTATACTTGGCAAACAAAAACAATTATGCCGTCCTTTTCAGCCTGGCGAATTGCATCATCCACCCCATGCCACTGAAAATTAGACTGAAAATTAGACTGAAAATCATTTAAGACTCTGCTTGGTTAAAAGATGCTACACAAGATCAAGGTGTAAGCCATTAAACCTATTCAGTTATTGTAACCTGTCCTAAACCCATATACTAATAGCTCCGCTATCAGCTTGAATGATTCTCGACATAATATCAGAGTGGCTTTCAGCAACAATACTCGATTTTCTTAACTAGTGCATTAGTGGGAATGCTATCAAAATAAAAAAGCGATCCTTGGAAAATTGTAACATCATGAAGAACTGGCTAGTTACCAATGATATTACAAGGAAATCTTCATGCTTAAATTAAATCGCCACAACATCAGGCAAGTGCAGGTAAATAATAAATCAGATTTTCATACAATTTAATTATTTTATTTACATTTTCTATTGATGCTTTAATTTCGCCCTAAACTTCTATAAGAATTTAAAATTTTCAGGCGGCTACCGCCCGCTAGCCCTCCTCGGTCCATCCCTATAGACACAGATCATAGAACTGGAAGAAAGCACCTTTGATTGTTAGACATATGTGTGTGTGTGTGTGTGTGTATATATATATATATAAACGTAAAACTAAAAGACGGAGAGAAACACTTATGATTCAACAAATATATTTCCCCAGAAATTGAATTTGGAGGTAAAATCCCTAATCCTGCCGACGTCAGCATAGAGGAACTTTTTTTTTTAAACGATGGCCATACATTTCAACTTATATGGACGAACAAATGAATCTAACTTTAAACCCAATAAAAAAATGCATACTTAAAGAATTGGATCAATGAGCAAATCACGATTCAGCTAAGAACACCAGTGAATCAAATATCAGATGGCGAGGAAGAAGATGATGACGGTGATTGGGTGTGTGTGTGTGGAGGTAGATGAAGAGAAAGTGAACCAAAAGGCGAGTACCTTTGTAAACAATATCGCCGGGAAAGTCAGACGACGGAGGGTGGCGGAGGAAAGAATGGAAGATGGAGAAGTTTGGTGGGAGAGAAAGCTAGCTAGGAGGAATTTGATTGTTCTACTTTAGAGCTTTGATCATGTGAGACAGAGTATATAACTAACATTTAGGCTTAAGCGTGTAAAAAACGAGTTAATTTCATCACGTGCCCTCAAATTATGATCATCATTCTAAATTAGTCCATAAACTTTTAAACATTCCAATTTCATACTCAAACTATGATTGTCATTGTAAAGTAGTCCTCACAATTTTTAACATTTCAATTCCACCTCCAAACTTATGACCTTCATTCTAAATTGGTCCCTAAACTTTTTGAACATTTCAATTCATCCCAAACTATACGAATATACTAATCACATCCCTTGCTAATAAAATCGTTAGGGCAATTTATATTATTTGTCTTTTAAAAATAAAATTTAAGTTGAACTATGGTTGAAACTAGTTACATATTTGGATGAATTTGGGGATAAAATTAGAAGATTCATAAGTTTGAGAACCAATTTAAAAGGAAGGTCGTAGTTTGGGGTAGAATTGGAATGATCAAAAGTTACTAATTTAAAATAAAAGTAATAATTTGGGAGCATATGATGTAATTAACTCAAAGAAAACCCCTAAACTTTTAAAGAAAAAAGCAATTTAATCTTTAATTTTTTATACCTAATTAAATTCTCGTTAAATATCAGAATAAAAATTATATCAATTAAACTTTTTAATTAATTTTAATAATTAAATTTTAATAATTTCAAACCATCACGTGACGTACTTTGATGGTTGCTGCCACATGATGTTTTTAAATTTTTATTTTAAAAATTCAACGATTTGAAATTAAATTATTTTCTTACAAGTGTAAGGGTTTCTTCAACCCTTAAACCGTAAATTAATTGGAGTATGACACATGGTTAGTTTAACATTTGTTGACTTTGAATCATATTAGGGTGTAATTTTATATAGGGTAAATTATATTAGAAGTTATTAAATTATATAAAAGCATCTTTTTAGTCAATAATTTTTTAAATGTTATCAAAATGTATTATTATTTTAACATTGCATGAGACCAATGTTTAAAAATTTAATGAATATTTTATAAGATTTGAAAGTTATTAACTAAAAAATCATTTTTAGATAATTCAATGACCTTTAATATACTTCACCATTTTATCTTTTATAAAATAAAGTCAAATTTAATCATTATTTCTTTAAAAATAATAATTACATAACCATACAATTTCATAGGAAATCATATAAAATAGAACACAATTTCATAGAAAATCATATGAAATAGATTTGAAGCATGCATATGACCATTTCAAGACCTTCCAAGTATTTATCTTATTCTTGACATCAGATACGGTCGTAAATTTTTGCGTTAGGATATAACTTTTAAAAGATATGTTATAATATTTCACGAGATTAAGAAATGAAATATAAAAGAATATTTAAATTATATGAAAATTTAAAATTTTTAAAGGGTGTTAATACTATTAGCACTCGATCAGCATAGAAGACCGGATTTTTTTTTATATATTTTTAAAAAAATAGAGAGCATCTTCCTAATTCATGTATCAAACACGAGTATCGAACAAAAATAAAGAATCGAAGCAACACAAACCCACACAAATTCAATCAACACACAACTACACTACGGTTTGATCTGCACTGGACGAAACATAAACACCTTTCAGATGAAAAATTGTCCAAAAATCAACTGTTGTCAATGTAAAAGTGTGTCATTATTTCAAGTATCATCATCACCAACTGTGCTTGAACAAACAATGCCTGATATTTGGGCCAAAATAACAATGACATGTACTCAAAACACGAAAGAACTCTAAAATCTTTTGTCCCTGCTTGTAAGTTAAAAGAAGCAACATTCATGAGATCACCCATACAATCTCATCCGCAACGAGGTTTCTTCAAGAAAGTACTTTCTTCACCTCTTCCGTAACCTCTTTCGGGGGCTTCTCCGCGTGGAGCTTCGCGACTATCCCCTTCTTCGAATAATAATCTATCACCTGAGTTTTGAATAACACCATTTAGAATGTTAATGACAATTCATAAAGCATTTAATTATCATCATAGGAGTTCATAAAAGCTAAAAGAACAGCATTCATGCATTTATAACAATCGTGTTCCCTCAAATACGAGGTAAAGATTGAAGTACTTGAACTTGCTTAATTTGGCTCATTTACCTAAATGCTTGATTCCCATGCTCGACTTTAAAGTCAAGCAGGGGAATCGAGCATTTAGGTAAATGAGCCTAATTAAGCAAGTTCAAGCATCTTTACTTCGTATCTAACTTGCACTTTAAAAATAAACTTAACCGAGATCAAGCTAAGCCTAGAATTTTCTCAAAACTTGAGCTTGGCCTTGACTTGGCTCGTTTACACCACTACTTATAACCCATTTTTATCTCCCTTTCAAGTAAAATGCCTTGCACATGTTATAGTAACTATCCAATTCCAACTAAAAAATATATTGTTGGTCTTTCACAATTTGCACAAGGTTGGGAACAGAGAGAGCATACTGGTTCGGTTTGCCTGTGAAATGCCTCTAGCCTTGACTTGAGAACTTCTGCAGTATCATCTTTACGCTGAGTCAAAGGCTCCCCAGTCACCTTGAAGAGAAGTAAAACAAGAAAGCGTGATCTTTAATATAACTGCAACTACTCTGGAAAAATCGGTAATGATGTTATATAAAGGTAAAGCTTAAGAGACTGACACAAACAAGTCACCAATAAATTTGCATAAAATTAGTGCATATGAACTGTCTCACGAAAAATTGCTTAATTTACCACTTCCCCAGTCAACTTCATCAACTGGTGAAAAAGGTGAAAAGGCTCTTTGGCAATGGACTGAATTTAAGGGACAAGCTGAAGTAAATTTTTTTGACTTACATCATCAACGCCGGGAACTTTAGGAGGTGCAAATTTTGTATGGTAGGTCCTACCACTAGCAGGGTGGATCCAGCGAGCAGTAATCCGCTCCTCCAAGATCAAATCATCAATTGCAAAATCAAGCACCTTATCGATTTTAACTCCTTGCTTTTCAAGCATTTCATCAAGCTGCAAGCCAAAGATCAAGAATACATGATAAGAGCTGGTGTACACAGAAATTTTAAAAACCCAAGGTGGATAAAGATTTGAAAGAAGGCAACACCTTCTGTGCTTGGCCTACAGTCCTTGGAAATCCATCAAGAATGAAACCTTTTTGACAAGAAGGTTTCTTCATTGCTTCATCAATAATGCCAACAACTAGGTCATCAGAAACAAGCTCTCCCTAAGGAACATTCACAAAACACATCATTAGTCATTACTCATTACCAACCTACTAAGAACTATTAAAAAATTCCAACACATGGTGGAAACAAATTAGACCTTATCCATAGCCTCCTTGGCCTTAATACCAAGAGGGGTTTTAGCAGCGACAGCAGATCTCAGCATATCTCCAGTGGCCAAGTGACACAGGCAGTACTCATCCTTAATTATTGGTGATTGAGTACCTTTTCCCGATCCGGGTGGACCTGCCACTCATAAGATTCCACAATGATTAGAAGCAAGCCATCATTCTACAAAATGCTAAACAATAATAGACAAATACCGGTGATTACTAAATAGTGTGCAGCCTGAACTTCACCACTAAAGGCCTACTTATTTATAAGTAGGTCATGAATAACCGGCCAGAAAATTGATTTCATTTTATCGTAAGGAAATAATGGACTAGTCTTTGTTCCAAAAACCATACTATTATGAATCACATAAGAACAAATCTACGGTCTTGACAAAGTAATAGTAGGAACAAAGGAAAAAACCAGTAATCCACTGTTCATTCATCTAATGTCTGTTCAATGAGAGATACATGTTTTCCCCCTAAATGTAATAATGATTATTTTGTTTACATTTTCTAAATCTCAAAAAATATAAATCTTTGAGCAAACATTATAAATCTACCAAATATGACAATGGGGCATAAGAAAAGAGGTGTTGACCAATTAACTCAACCGGCCATAGAATTGTAATTAGTCATTACAAATCCCCCAATTTTGGTCATCGAGAGAGATACAGAGGGTGGATCCACTTTTCAAGGGAAAAAACCACTGTTAGTTCGGCCATTCGGAGCAGATCGGTGCAAAATTACAGGTCGGAATTCGCCACACCTATTCCCAAAGGCCAATGCCACCACTTTGCCTTTACAGACATTTTTGTTCACATAAATTGCATGATAAAGTAATAAAAAGTTCAAATTTTCGATTGAATTTGGAGATCTACAAAATGAAACTACGTTTCCGTGGATCCCTCTAAAAGAATAAAAAAACCCTAAGGCGAACCAACTTCAACCAATCCTCGGATCTAAAAATACCAACAGAAAAACCAAACTTTGCAGATGAAAAAACGAAAAATCAAATCCAAAACAACACGAGTTCTAAGAAAAGAAGAGACGGTACCAATGAGGATGAGACGCTTCTCGGGTTTGGTGGCGCATTTCATGCGGCGAAGAAGCTCAGTCATCAGCGATTCAGATGGTACATCTTCCAAGTTGATTGAATTGCTCGCCATTTTCGATTTCTCTAACCTTTTTTTCTAGTGTTATCGCCCCAAAGGATTTCTGCGTTTTCAAACAGTGGTTTGAGATTTAAGTTAGGTTTTTAAGGTTTTCTATTTGAGTGTTTGGTTGGGAGACTTCGGAGCTACCAATGCTTGAAGCTCAGGCAGCGGCCTTTTCCAGCTTCTTCTTAACTAAATTTTCTGGTTAGCCCTCCTTCTTTTACAATATTTCTAAAATATCCCTACTCTTTTAGGGTTTGTTTTGAAAGTGTTTAATTTTAAGATAAACTACTCCAAGACTCACTAATGTTCGGGTAATTTTTCGTTTTCACTACTGATGTTTCAAAAGTTATAAATCCATCACTAACATTATCGTTTGTTACAAATTAGTTACTCGCCGCATGACGAAAAACACACGTGACCTGTTAACAGCAGTTAACAGTTTTACCTGGATATTAAATTACACAAATAGTCCATGTTATTTATATATTATTTCAATTTGATCCTAGTTTTAATAAATTAAAATATATTTATTTCTATTTCTTATAAATAATGATATATTTTTAAAAAATGGAAATCAAAAATTTAAAATTAGTTATAAAAACAAAAAAATTAACGTTTTTTTAATGTTAGGATAAACTAATAAAAACAAAAAAATTAATTTTTTTAAAATAAAATTAACATTTTTTCTTCCCCAAACTTTTTTTTATTTTTTAAATAAATACTAATATTAAAATATTGTTTGTGAATAAAAATTTTCGTTTGGTGCATAATTTTTTTAAAAATTATTTTTATTAAGTCTTTTATTTTCTGAACAATCTTATAATTTAATTTGTCATTAAATATTTTACATTATATTTTATCACAACATAAATTATAAATCTTTTAGTAAGTTGTTTAGGGAATGGATCGAATTGCATCGAAGTGACTCGTGATAATATCATCGGTGAATATTCGAGAGCTTTGTAGATTGGGTAACTAATGGAGATTTTCTTCTTCTGATAATCGTCAATTCGAACTAGTTCGTTATAGATTCGTGATATAATTCATTTCAACCACAAGAAGAAACAAATTGAATCCATCCGAAGGATAGATTCGAGATAATAAAAATAAATCGGCCGAAGGTCTGGCTTCCCGAGGAAAAACAAATTTTCAGCTCGTGTTATATCCGATGATACGACCACATTTGCTTTAATCACGATGAATTCATTAGGTGGTGCAAATTGGTGCCTATATTGGAATTTTATATTTTTATATCGTTTCAAGTAATATTAAATTAAAATTTTGGACAAAAATTTCTTTGGAAATTAAGTTTTTTTTTTCTTGAATCATGGATGAGGGAGGGACTTCAAAAATTTACTTGGTGCCGATGATATCACTACGAGTCACTTCGGATGCAGTTCGATTTATTCCCTAAATAATTTCACGACCTATGTGCTTATTAATTTTTCATCATATCAATAATAATAATATTATTAATTTTTTGTTTATATATCATCACTTAGGGTCTGTTTGTTTGGCTGTAATTGGTTTTCCGAAAAATGAATTACTGGAATTTGAATTACTGTAAAATGAATTACTGGAATTTGAATTCTGGAAAATGAATTACATTTCTGGAAAACGTTTTCCGGAATACGTTTTCCGTAAAATGAATTACATTTTTTGAAAAACATCTGGAAAACGTTTTATGATGTTTGGAAGATGTTATTTAAACCTTTTTTTCCACTAGTTGAAGAGTTTTTTAAAAATTATTTATTACAAATATTAAATACAATAAATAATATTATTTATCATAAAACTTTTTTATTATTAAAAATAATTTATTTATTATTAAATAGTATTTTTATAATTTTATTAATAAAAATATTAATTTTTGTATATTTTAGTGAAATAAAAATATTATAAATTATTTATTAAAGTAATAGTGTTATATTATATTTAAAAAATATTAATTAGTATATTTTAAATATCTTTATTAAAATATTATTTAAATATATAAATAATATTATTCATTATTAAATATATAAAAATTTTTATTATATATTATTAAAATAAAAATATAACATCTTATATTATTATAATATAATTGATTATTTTATATAATATTAAAAATATAATATTATATTATTATAAATATTAATAAATTAATAAATAATATTTTGATGAAAATAATATTAAAATATTTTATTAATTAAAACTAGGATTAAATTAATTTAATAAGATTTTCGATTTGGACGGGAAACAACCCTAAATCTAAAAATTGAAAATCTCGTCAAATTTCAAAATTCAAAGCAGCCAAACTAAAGAGAATCGAGGACTAATTACCGGACATCAACTAAAAATGGAGAACGAGAAAGAGAACTTATAGTGATTTAGGAACTATTTGCAATCATTCAAATGCTGGGGAGCGAGCAGAGAGTGTTTAAAGTGAGGGATTTTTTTAACTTCATTTGGTTTTTTTAAGATTTAGGGATATAAAATTATTGTTAAAAGATTTATGTTTTGATAAAACTTAATTTAAAAGATTTAATGACAAATTAAATTATAAGACTATTCAGAAAATAAAAAAACTTAATAAAATTAATTTTAAAAAAAGTATGCACCAAGTGAATTTTTTTTCTCAAAAAAGATTTTAATATTAGTATTTATTTTAAAAAAATAAAAAAATTGGAGAAGAAAAAATGTTAGTTTATTAAAAAAACATTAAATTTTTTTATTAGTTTACCCTAACATTAAAAACGTTAATTTTTTTGTTATTATAACTAATTTTAAATTTTAAATTTCCTTTTTTTTAAAATATATCATTATTTATAAGAATTAAAAATAAATATATTTTAATTTATTAAAATTAGGATCAAATTGAAATAATATATAAATGACATGGACTATTTGTATAATTATACCATTCAGGTAAGCCTATTAACTGCTGTTAACAGGCCACATGTGTTTTCTGTCACGCCTGTTAACGGCGAGTGACCAATTTGTAACAACTTTTGAAAAATCAGTGACGAAAACAAAAATTTACCCAAACATTAGTGACTATTAGAGTAATTTAACCTTTATTTTATAGGTTTAATATTTAAAAAATAATATAGAATCCAACAAATCAATATGCCTCTATCTTTCATTTTGTTTTTCAAATAAATCTCTATTTTATATAATTTTTTTTTTAATATTTATGTCGCACCGATCGGGTGCAGATTTTTTTAAGAAAAAAATCAAACTGCATGAACAAATCATTCATCATCTTTATATTATCATTCTCCCCTTCTATAATTTGTTGTTTCACAAATTCCTTCACCATCGAAGGAGAGTTCCGACATACGCCCTATGTAATTTTTACATACAAAACGAGTAGCACACGAAGTAGGTGGGAGCCTCCTTTCGTCTCAAACCAACCTCGCAGTAGAGCTTGTTCCATTGCCGCAGATTGCTCATGTTTAAAGCTGGCATTCCCTCTTTCATGAGCATTTTTAAATTCCTTCATGTTTAAAGGGCGTATGTCAGAACTCTTGCTTGAGGGCGGTGCAGGTTTGCCTTCGGCTTTAGCAGTAGCTTGTTTCAGGGATTCAAATCACGATCGTAGTCGTTTTTTCGATTATGTTCCGTTTACCGCGATTGCGGTCATAGAAAGCGTTATTACGATCATAGCGGGCACTATTACGGATATAGCATGTATATCGAACCGTTATTTAAAACCTGACTTTTTCCTGCCATCAATGTCTAAAGACGGTCGGTTCGATACTAAACAACACGGTTGCAATTCCGACTTACTAATTTAATCGACTCAATCTTCATTACCTTTTTCAGAATCTCTTGAATTGAACCGTGGGCAGCAGTCACATACAGATTCTACAACAAAAAACAAGTAAAATTATCCGTCTGTGCTGTTCAAAAGTACCCGGCTTCAACTACCCGACCCGTCGACCGATATAAAATTATCAAGTATTTTAGAGGTAAATATACCTGATTTTACGGGTTGGATATCCAGCCCATTATTTTTGATGGGTTTCTGGGTTAGGCCCGAATTACAAAAATTATCCTTAATCGGGTATCCGATGACCTGCCGACCCTATTCCCTTTTTTTATTTTATTACTATTTTACTTTAAATTAGATTTTTTATTTCTAATTTCAATTTTTTTCACCTTAACATTTTAAATCTTTATTTTTTCAAATGATTTCATCTTAACATTTAAATTTTTCTTAAATTATTTATTTTAATCTCAAATTTTTTTTCAATTTAGTTGTACTTTTATATTTTATTTTTAGATTATATAAGTTGATTTATAAATTTTATGTTTATGTTATGTATTATAGAATTTTAAGTTTACTTTTTTTTGTTTTTATGTTATTTTTAAAAAATAATATAAATTAAGAAAATAAAATAAATATTAACCTTGTTCCTGTGACCTGAAAATGCATGTACCCGAGTACCCATATTTTACGGGCCGGGCCACGGCCCGAATTTTTGTGACGGTACCCAGATTTGAACACTCCTAACATTCGCAACGACATCCAAATCGACATCAGAGAACATGTCCGCTTTTGCTGGAATAACATTATCTTTGCTCTATTTGCAGCATCCGACAGATCCACCATCAATCTACCAAAATTGCAGAACTATTAGTAGATGGTACCAGTAAGTTAAAATAAGCACATTTGTAACTCGAAGTTGAATGTCGAATACGAGAAATCATCCAAGAAAAACCGAAATGATACTTCACCGTCTTTCGACATTGATGGCAGGAACAAGCTGCTGCTCAAGCCGAAGGCAAACCTGCACCACCTTCAAGCAAGAGTTTCGACATACGCCCTTTAAACATGAAGGACTTTAAAAATGCTCATGAAAGGGTACATGCCAACCTATCGTCGGAGTCCGTAAACATGAGCAATCTGCGGCAACGGAACAAGCTCTACAGCAAGGGTGGTTCGCTCCCAGCTACTTCGTGTGAATTCCTTCGTACATCTTCCTAAAAACTCTGCTCTACTTGTTTTGTATGTAAAAGTTACATAGAGCGTATATCGGAACTCTTGCTCGATGGTAAAGGGATTTGTGAAACAACAAATTACATAGGGGGAGAATAATAATATTAAGATGATAAATGACTTGTTCATGCAGTTTGAGTTGTTTTAAATAAAAATCTGCACCCGACCGGTGCGACATAAATATTAAAAAACTTATCTTTATTAGATAAAATATAGATTCACGAATAACCAACCTCGTCGACAAATATGACACGGAGCGATTTTACTAGCTAGGGAAAAACAGCTTTAACATATTTCTCAGCCTCACCAAACCACTGCAGATAAAGAGAGATAAAAGTTTCATATAAGATATGACACCATAGGAAAAGTGAATCGGTTGAAAAGGAACAACGGAATCGACCTTCGATGTGAGGCTTGACATTGATAAATTGATGAAGTTTGCACCAGCTTCAGTAGCCACGGCCTTTGCCAGCATGGTCTTTCCGGTTCCGGGAGGTCCAAATAAGAGTATGCCCTTGCAAGGCTGTTTTTTTTTTCTTACATAAAAATCAACAAATGACATAAAAAAATGAAATGCAGAAACGTATTGCTATATGATCAATAAACCTTGGTTAGCTGCCCCTTGCAGAAGAGTTCAAGCCTCTGTAAAGGAAGCATGACCAACTCCTCTAATGTATCCTTCACGTTTTCAAGAGCTCCAATATTGTCAAAGGTAACTTCAATGTCATCCGGTGGAACGACATCAGCTAAAAGCTTCTTCTCGAATACATTTTCAGTTGCAACATCCTGTTATGAGCAAAACAACCACAATGAAGATTTAGTGGTCAGGCACATTCTCGTCAATGAATACACCATAATTTAGGAATGGAACGACACAAATGAGGCTCGATAATGTGCATCTCATTTCGAAGGCAGGTACGATCATGACCTTAAGTGACTTCTTCAAGCTTTTAGATTCATTCTTGATACCCTGGAACATTCCAATGCCATACAGGATGATGCCAGAAAAACAATTAACTATGCAGATAAAAACATTATAAAGAAATGAGAATTTTTCAGGTACCTTCCACAAGATAAAACAAGCCTCGAGTTAGCATCAGCTTCCGAATTCTGCATCAGATGGTGACTTAGATCCCATCCAACTACCTTCTCGGCGACTGCAAGGCATACCAAAATATAAAATTTATTGACAATTCCATACTATTCTGCATTAGATGATGATATGTCAAAAGAAAACTTACTTTATCTGTAAGGGTCAGATCCTTGATACACAAACTTTCAAGCCCTTGGCATTCCATACTAATCTGAACCAAAACAATAACCGACAGTATTAATTTCACTCAGAAATCTCCTGGGGACATTAAAGCCCCAAATGTTAGCATTTAAATAACCAAATAAATCATATATACTAACAGTTCGAAGGATATCGAAGTTCGTCTTCATTTTCAGAGTTTAAGCATCACGATCCAATTGGAGCTTCCAAGATGTAAGCAGGGGTGCATCCTGCAGTATTACATAAGCTTCGATAGTATGTTCAATTTCAACATAAGCTTTGACAGTATGTTCCATTTAAAACACATGCACAAGCAGTGCAACAAACAGAACATATTATTTGGCATACACCAGAAAAACCTGTGGCTTACAAATGGTCACTTTGTTTGGTAAAAAGTAGAGTCAATTTTGTTGTTGCATTTGAAACTTCCTTCCCCTTGTCATGCCCCTTGGGTTGCAGCAATCTACCAAAACGATCCTGAAAAATCCAAAAGAGGTGGAGTGTGTGAGGTGCATACACGTGTGCATTGGGGAAAAAGAACATTTGCTAGGATAAAAATGAAAGTAGTATACAGATGAAAGAGCTTAATAAAACCGAAACCGAACATTCATATTTGATCCCAAGAACAACATATTATCAACAGACTCCAAATTTAATTCTCACAAGAGAATTGCCAAGAATATTAACTTCGAATTTCCAGTAACATGCCCTGAAATGAGGTAAATTATATCTAAGATTTCTTCAACAAGAAAATATCAACCCCATCATTCGAAAACCACCCACATTCGTCATTAGTAAATAAAAGAAAAATAACTGTCTGTAAAGATTGAACCATTACCGTCAATGCATAGTCAAGGAGAGTAGTTTGAAGTGTGTTGCAAGTCAAACCACCAGGATGTGACTGCAAGGATAAAATGCCACAGCATAAGATACTTCTAAATCTTTTAACATTTGAATGAATACAAGTCATACTAAAAACACGTAATTGATAAGTAATGCATAATGCTATCTGAAATATGGATCATAGATCTAATAAAGGTCAATGTAGGCTTATACAGGTTATACAGATTGCTTATGTTAACTTTCCAAAAATAAAAAAAGGAAGTTATAAGTCAATAAGAAGTTGTCATTAGCCACTGAAATTGTCTATTTGCAATTTTGATTTCCAGTTCTTTCTAGCATTAATTTTACCTTTTTTTTTTAATTTTCACACCCAAAAAACAAAAAAACAAGGCGAATTTCCTTACCTTAATGTTCAAAATATTGAGCACGATAACAAGTCAAAAGAGTTTAAACAAGACAAAAAACAAATGCACCTTCTCTTTATGCCTGGATCGCAATTATCTCCAAGGTTAACGCCGTCGGGGACGGGTTAATCAAACTCTACACCAACTTTTGAGAAAGGATTGTTCTTAAAAAGTAACATGACCCACCCACGAATCCCATAAGGTGGACCTCTGTAGATTGAATTGATAAAGAATAAATTAGAGAGTTGCCAAAAAAATGCGATAAGAACATGTGAGATAGGATCAAACCAAGAAAACCATTTGCCTGGGTCATTGAGATCAGGTGGAAAGGTATTTTGTTTTAACCTTAAAAAGAGAGACTAGAAGGGAATTTAAAGGAATTAATTTAAATACTTGTAAGATAGAAAGAGATTGCAGTACCTAGATAGAGACGCTGCTGGATTCATAAACTTTACTCTCACCTGGACATTCCATGTTAGGGAAATAGTCACAAAGTAAAGACTTATGAAATGTTAATAACACAAAAACCTTAAGTGAAAGGTCTTTCAGAAACTGTAAACACCTATATTAAACATTTGATTCTTAGATGACCCGGATGAGGAAGGCATGGTAATATCTTCTGTCATAGGTTGAGATTCCAGGACAAATGCAGGGGCGGCCACAGGGCTTGAAGTTTCTGCTTCAACAGTTGGCAAACCATTGGCCAAATCAGTCGGTCCAGGGGTTTATTGTTGGGAAATTAAACGAGTAATTTTCATATAACCAGATTAACGAGAATACGAAATAAAAGCGAAAAAATAATACTCGAAATTGATAACGGAATTCGACCAATTATGCCTACGTCTCTAGACTGCTGCAGATCTTTTACTAAAGAGAGAAAATTTACAGGTGTTTACAAAACACTCACAACTCACAAGAAAACTCTCTAAACTCTTTAGTATTGGGAGAAATAAATGATTTGGGATGATTTTGAAGCTAAATGGGTTAGGGTATTTATAGTTGAAGCTTATGGACTAATCTTGTAAATACCTTAAAGTACATGGATTAAATTTACAATTTTCTCATTACTATTTTTCAACAAAAATTTGTCAAACTTTGAACCATGCACCATTCAGTGCCAAACTTTGAACTTTCAACAATCTTCCAATTGAAGACTGATTTTAATTTGTCTTTACAATGCAACAGCATTTCTGGTCTTGTTACTCTAGTATGCCAACTGAAGCTGAACAAAACTTCAGTTGTGCGTAGTCACCGTCTTTGTTAACATGAATGCCGGATTTTGAGCTCCACTAATCTTTTCAAGTTTCAAAATCCCATTGTAACACCCCCAACCCGTATCCGACCCGGATACGAGTCCGAAGTGTCACATTGACTTTTCAAACATTTATTCGTATAAAATAGTGAGTAATTTAAAAACTTGGATAACATTTAACTCATTCAAAACGTTTACAAAATATATCAGAGTTCATACAATTTATATCTTTAGACTACATGCCAACTACACTCTATATACCGTACATATATTTTCTGATCTGACAATTGGGTAAGGAGAACTGACCTGTCTTGCTCCTCTTAGCTCTTTACTCTTCTCACTTCTGTAACCTACGTGTGAAACAATCACACGCTAAGTCGTTGACTTAGTGAGGCATAAAACATATAATAAAACTCTAACTCGTAATCATGCTTGAACAATTTCTACTAACATATCACATACAAGCACCATACCCACATATACATGTAATGATTCCTACTATGCACCTTTCATATAGATATATATATATATATACATATCCACACATACATATAATTATCTTCTTTCCTATCATTATCATATTATCACCTTTCATATTTCTATTCTCTTGTTCATATAATCAATTAAGCTCATATCATATATCTTATAGCATATACAATAATCACTAACACGCATATATCATATACAGTACATTCCATGTTATCTCTTATTAGCCCATGTGCACCTGTGAGAACTGTAGATATGTGAGTCTATTGAGGTTGTGCACCACTATGCTGTCACCACAGCTCATATAAATATCCCGAAGGACCTATCCAGAGGTCACAAAATCCCCGGTAACTATCCAGAGGTCATAAAGATCCTCGGTAACTGTCCAGAGGTCATAAAGATCCTCGGTAACTGTCCATATGTTCCTTAGAACATAGGTATACTGTCCATATGTCTCGAAAGACATAGGTAAAACTGTCCATATGTTCCGTAGAACATAGGTAAACCCTCGACTCTTGGCATGCCAACTATACCCCTAGCTCTCATGACACATAACATGGGCGTTATCATTTATTTCATTTCAAATATTCACATAAACTTGTAATTCACTTTCACATATCACGTATCACATAGCTTCTTTTCATATTATCACATAGTCACGTAGTTCACTTATACACTTTTATATCCCATAAACTCATATATATAGATCATGTCACATAACTTATCTCATAACTTATTTGATATTCCTATATATTCTCATCTTATAACTTATATTACCTATGCATATAACCTTATGAGCTATTCTTATATTACCCTATATCAACCATAATTTGTTTATCTCACTTTTCATATCATTCATTCAAAAGCATGTTAACACATATAATCATGCATACATACAATTTATGTCATGCATATTGTCACGGACCGCGAGCCCACAACCAGGGTTAACACACGAGGAGTAGGCCAAGAGCACTTATGTGGCGTGTTGGACCTTTCTGAACCCATGAAGACTGGCCCATTCCATGGAGATGAAGAGCCTTACACGTTTATGGCAGGAGAATCCTTGGTTTAATGCAAAATCCTCATGATTCTTTCCATAAACTTTGTAATCTTTTATCTAAGGCAACATATAGCTAGCTTGATAGAGTTTCCTTAGTTAAGAGAGATTTTGTAATCATAATCCCTTGATTTGTGGGATTTAGGAGATTGTTTTTAATCTAGGCCGTCGATGTACTTAGATCTTAGCCGTTCATTGAGGGGAGCTTCCACTATAAATAGAGGCCTCTCCTCCTCATTTGTACTCACTTCTTCATTTTTGAGAAATCACAGAGCATTCTCTCAAAGTTCTCTTGTCTTGCTTATTGTGCTAAGTTCTCTTGTTTTTGCTTCCGTTGGGAATCTAAGCATCTTTGCTTGGGTTGTTTTCAGGCTGACTTAGCCGCAATCACAAAGAAGGCGACTAAGGCCGCACGTTCGAGGTGTTTAAGTTCCAAGGGCGTGACAAGTGGTATCAGAGCTAGTTTTGCGAGAAATGGCACAACACAACAATGACGAGGTCCCAGCAGCCAGTGAAGTGATGGAGACTCGTGCTGTTGCGGCGAAGAAGCGTGGAAGCTCGAAGGATGTCGTGGCATCATTTGAGCAAAGGGTTGGGAGATTGGAAGATCGATATAACGAAGTTCAGGAGACTCAAGACTCGGTTGAATCTCGCTTGGAGAAACTGGAGTCTGTGGAGGATGTGCTTCGCGAAGAAACCCAAACACTCATCAACGACATGACAGAGACGGTGGATGAGCGTACCCGAGGTCTCGAGAGCATGTACTTGGCCATGAGGGCCGAACTGATGCGGGAGATGAAGGAGCTCAAGAGTGAGCTGCTTGTCTACAAGGCTGCAGTGTTGAATGGAGTGACTGGGGAGGCGCAAGCACCAAGACCCAGGATCGACGTCCCTAAAACCGAAGGAGTTCAAGGGGAGTCGAACTGCCCAAGATGTGGAGAATTTCATCTGGGGCATGGAGCAATTCTTCCGAGGCATGGGCATCGGGGATGATGCCACCAAGGTAAATGTTGCTTCAAATTATCTTGCTGATGCTGCTATGTTATGGTGGCGACACAGGTGTTCCGAGAGGACGGATCCGATTGGGACATGGGAAGAGTTCGTGGGCGAACTCAAAGAGCATTTCTATCCAAAGAATGCTGTGCTCGAGGCTCGAGCAAAACTGAAGCAATTGAAGCATGACCGTACAATCTTGGAGTATGTCAAGAACTTCACTGAGATCAAGATGCAAATTCCCGACTTAGGTGAGTCAGAAGGGTTCTTTGCATTCATGGATGGACTACAACGCTGGGCCAACTTGGAGATCCAGAGGAGGGGAGTGAAAACTCTCTCCAAGGCATTGGATGAAGCCGAGGCCATTGCCCCATTTGAAATAAAGAAGACCGACTCTCTCAAACCAAAGCCAAAACCCAAAGGTAATGATGGGGGAGAGAAGGCCAAAGGAGGCTCCAACAAGCCAGCCGGGGGTAATGGGAAGCAAAATGATCGACCCAAAAAGCTTTCCAATCCTTGGGAGAAGAAGGGAGATTTATCGTGCTTCCATTGTGGAGGAAATCACATGAAGAGGGATTGTCCTCAACTCGTGAAAGTTGCTGCCATCAAGGAGAATGATGGGGAAGAGAAGGAGACCTTGAAGCTTGGTTCCATCATTAGTTCCATGGAGATCAAGAAGGGCCGCAAGAAGAAGGGACTGATGTACGTAGACATCACCGTGGCGGGCCAAAAGATGAGTGCACTAGTGGACACGGGTGCCTCAGAGTTGTTCTTGTCCGAACAAGCTGCCAAGAAACTTGATCTTCGTATAGAGAAGACAAGTGGCTTCATTAAAACCGTCAATACCAAGGAGGTTCCGATTGTTGGGGAAGCAAGAGGAATCAAGCTTAGCATTGGGGGATGGACCGGGAAGGAGTCCATAAAGGTAATCCCACTCGATGATTTCGACTTTGTTATTGGGATTAGTTTCCTTGATCGGATTAATGCGTTTCCCTTGCCATTTGCCGATTGCCTGGTAATTTGTGATCCGAAGCACCAATGCATTGTTCCGGTAAGTCGAGAGTCTGGAACCGATGCCAAGATGTTGTCCGCGATCCAGTTCTCAAAGGGGGTGCGCAGGGAGGAACCCACCTTTGTGGCTTCATTGGTGGGAACTGAGCCCACAATGACCGAGGAAGTCCCGACTGAAGTGGGACAAGTATTGGCAGAGTTTAGGGATGTGATGCCAACAGAGTTGCCAAAGTGTTTGCCACCGAAGAGAGAGGTGGACCACAAGATCGAGCTCGTGCCGAATGCGGAGCCTCCCGCCAAGGCACCGTACCGTATGGCCCCACCGGAGTTAGAGGAGCTTCGCAGACAGTTGAAAGAGCTCCTAGATGCGGGGTATATCCGACCGTCGAAGGCACCCT